CTGGCTAAACCCGGGTGAAAACTCCGATCCTTCTACTAAAATATTTAAAAAAAATTTAGCCGGGCGAGGGTGGCGCGCCTTGTTAGTCCAGGCTTACTCGGGAGGGGGCTGAGGGCCAGGAGAAACCGGCGGGGAAACCCCCCGGGAGGGCGGAGAGCTTGCAAGTGAGCTGAGATCCCGCCACTCCAGCCTGGGCGACAGAGCGAGACTCCGTCTCAACAAAGAAAAAATAAATAAATAAATAAAAAATAAAACACTACTGTTATTCTGAGATTCCAAGTTAGGATTTATGTAAAAATATATAATTTTTTTTTTATATACAACATACATACAAAAAAAATACAAAACATTCACGTAAAGCTCTGTGAGTTATTACAAAGCGAATACAGTTGCGTAACCAAGAAATAGAACCAGCATCACTCATGTCTCAACAACTACTATCTCCCTCCCTTGTCTACTTCCCAAGTGGTAAGATTTTTTTTTTTTTTGAGACCAAGTCTCTCTCTTGTCCCCCAGGCTGGAGTGCAATGGCGCGATCTCAGCTCACTGCAACGTCCGCCTCCCAGGCTCAAGCGATTCTCCTGCCTCAGCCTCCCCAGTAGCTGGGACTACAGGCGCCTGCCACCACGCCCGGCTGATTTTTTTATTTTTAGTAGAGACGGGGTTTCACCACGTTGGCCAGGCTGGTCTCAAACTCCTGACCTCGTGATCCACCCGCCCCAACCTCCCAAAGTGCTGGGATTACAGGTGTGAGCCACCGTGCCCGGCTGCATCTGATTTTCTCATGTGATTTTGCATCCTACTCCTTTCCTGAATGCATTTATTAGTTCAAACAATTTATTGCTGTGGTCTAGTGTTTTTTTTTTTTTTTTTAAACATATAAGGTTATGTTGGGGGCGGGGCTCAGTGGCTCATGCCTGTAATCCCAGCACTTTGGGAGGCTGAGGCAGGAGGATCACCCAAGCCCAGGAGCTTGAGGCCAGCCTGGGCAACATGGCAAAAAACACATCTCTACAAAAAATGAAAAAGTTACCTGAGTGTGGTGGTGCCCACCTGTAGTCCCAGCTACTCGGGAGACTGAGGTGGGAGGATCATTTGAGCCCTGAAAGTGGAGGTTGCAATGAGCCAAGATCATGCCACTGCACTCCAGCCTGGGCAGGAGAGCAAGACTCTATCTCAAGGGGGGAAAAAAAAAAAAAGATGTCATACACAAATAGCAACATTTTTACTCCTCCTTTCCAAGTCAGATAGCTTTTTAAAAAATTGACTAATTACTGTGGTGCAAATTTTCAGTAATATATTAAAATAGACATATTGAGAGTGGGCACCGTGTAGCCTTGCATGGGTATCTGGATGTTTGAAGGAGCAAACATCTCCAGTTTTTATAAACTAGTTTTATCAGGTAAAGACCTCTTGCGGGGTCCTTGGGCTGATAGGATCTCCTCTTGAATTGCACAAAAGAGAGGTTATAGCTGGATCACAAGGCTGCTGCTGGGTCTAAGGTGGGGTCTGCCTTTGGTGTGCCTATTACCAGGGACTTGGGAAGTCAAGGATCCCGTCTGGTCCCTGGGCAGACTGGATTGCCTTGAGAACTTTGATTTTTATAGGGCAGACTCAAGGGCAAGGTCCTGCAGTTGGATCCGGGTGGGCCTGATACCTGGTGCATGGATGGATTTTGGCTCCCACTAGGTAGTTAGCACCTCTCCTCCCAGTTCACTATGTCAGCCTCTGGGTGTGAAGAACTGGCCATGGATTGTAGCTATGTGGGCTGGAACTGCATCACAGTGCTTCTTAAGGGACTACAGCTGAGGCCAAGGTCTGCGGGCCTGCCTCCATGGCCACAGCTGTGCATGTCTCCCCAGCTATCTCAATGGGCAGGACTGTTTCTGGATCATGGCTAAGAGGAGTCTGAGAGGGTTACCAGGTTGCTTCAGGATCTTCAGTGAGACCAAGTTCAATAGGTTATTTCCCGATCTTTAGTCAGGACCTTGGGTCCTCCAGTGTGCCACTAGGTGGGGGCCTGCTCTCTCACAATAGTCCCCTTTGGTCTTGGGTGCGGCTGCAGTTTTATGAACCCAACTGTTGGCAAGCACCATTCTACTTTCTGTGAGTTTACTACATATATGTGGAATCATACACTCTCTGGCACTTTGTTAGTGTCTTCCTTCACTTATAATGTGGTCAAGATTTATTCTTATTGCACTGTGTTGTAAAGGTTTCCTTGTTTGAGGCTGAATGATATTCCATTCTGTGCATATGCCTATGTGCCACATTTTCTTTCTTTTTCTTTTCTTTCTTTTTTTTTTTTTTTTTGTAAGACACAGTCTCACTCTGTCACCCAGGCTAGAGTGCCGTGGTACAATCTTGGCTCACTGCAACCTTTGCCTCCCAGACTCAAGTGATCCTCCTGCCTCAGCGTCCTGAGTAGCTGGGACTACAGGCCCGCACTACCACACCTGGCTAATTTTTGTATTTTTGGTAGAGACGGAGTTTTGCCATGTTGCCCAGGCTTGTCTCAAGCGATCTGCCCCTCAGCCTCTCAAAGTGCTGGGATTACAGACAAGAGCCTCCGTGCCTGGCCATATGCCACATTTTCTTTCTTCATTCATTCATCAAAGGAAACCTGGGTTGCTTCGACCTTTCGGCTTTCAGGAATATTGCTGCAATAAACATGGGTGTGCAGATATGTTTTTCAGGTCCTGCTTTGCATATTTTGGATGGATATCCAGAAGTGGGATTGCTATATCATATAATAATTCTGTTTGAGAAACCTCCATATGGCTGGGTGTGGTGGCTCACACCTGTAATCTCAGCACTTTGGGAGGCCGAGGCGGGTGGATCACCTGAGGTCAGGAGTTCACGACCAGCCTGGCCAACATGGTGAAACCCCATCTCTACTAAAAATACAAAAATTAGCCGGGCATGGTGGTGTGTGCCTGTAAACCCATCTATAGGGAGGCTGAGGCAGGAGGATCACTTGAACCTGGGAGGCAGAGGTTGCAGTGAGCCGAGATCACACCATTGCACTCCAGCCTGGACAACAGAGCAAAACTCTGTCTCAAAAAAAAAAAAAAAGAGAAACTTCCATACTATTTTTTGTAGTAGCTGGATCAATAATTCCCCACCAGCAGTGCACAGGGGTCTCAGTTTCTCCATATCCTAGAGAACATTTATGGGTTCTTTATTTGCTTGATAGTGGCCATCTAATGGGTGTTAGCAAAGGAAATCTGGTAGATTAGCTTTGCATTTTTATTTTATTTATTTATTTATTTATTTATTGAGGCAGGGTCTTACTTTTTCACCCAGGCTAGAGCAAAGTAGTGCAATCTTGGCTCACTGTAGCCTCAACCTCCTAGGCTCAACTGAACCTCCCACCTCAGTCTCCTGAGTAGCTGGGACTATGGGCACATGCCAACACACTCAGCTAATTTTTGTATTTTTATTATAGGTGTGAGCCATTGCGCCGCTGATCCTCGGCTCACTGCAACCTCCACCATTACA